CCCGTTTTTCATTTTGCATCTGTCACGAACGCTTTTTAGTTTTTTGGATATAAAAAACGGAAAAGCGTTTTTTAAAAGGTTTATTGGTCTCAATAAACCCTTTTTGATAGTTTATTAATCTACGACTTTTTTTACAGTGTAGACCAAGTCGAATAATTGGTGAACGAATCCCAGAATGATGAATCAGTCACATTGAAAACAGATGATGTTGAATCTGGACTGTTAGACTACTTTCACTACCATGGATGTGTACTATTGCCAGTGAAGTTTTGAAAGGTTTCTGTTGATGCCCACCATGAATAATTCACAGTTGGTGTTGTCGCGTATAAGTTTAAAATGTCTGATTATATTTTATCGTTGTGTTATCATTATTTTTTCTTATCAATACGTCAATGATTGAAATTTTACTTTCTTTGATATTCGCATGAATTTTAATTTCTAAATCTAGGTATAAAAACGAAGTTTTCGCTGTTCAACAGAGAAGAGACCGATGTGTGTCTTCTTGTTAGCAAATCAAAAGTTTAAAATTTTAGGTTTTGAAAAGATCTTTATGAAACCAGTCTAGTTCTAAAAAAGTTAAGGTGATAAGTGTTACTTTAACTTTTTAAGAACTAGACTGGTTTTCTAAAAATCCTGAATTTTATATTTGTTGTGCTAACGAGAATACGTGCGCTTGTTTCCTCTACTGAAGCGAGAAAAATCGCATGTCTCTATGTCTTTTCGTTGAAAAGTTATTGAAAAACTATCTGACTACATTTTATTTTGATTGTGATAGTGAATTAATGGAACAGAGACACTTTTTTGACAATAGATATTGGCTAAGACAAATTTGTCTTATGAACGCAGTCGATATTGAAATTAAGTATTTTTTCAGAGGTCAAAATCCCAAAGAAGGTCAAAAAGTGAATTGAAATTATCTTCACAGTTTACATAGAAATATATTAAAACCACCAAGTATAATAAATGATATAATTTCATCATGTTTATTGTACAATTTTCAATGTCAAAAACAAGTTCTAAATGAAATATGATTTTAGAATCTACACTAAAGATGTATTTTAAAATAAAATCTATCACTTCTTTATATAATGATGGCAAAGTTAATCCATGTTAATAGGTACAATACAATATAATAACATTTTTAATTAAAGTTTAAAACTGAGAGCTAAGAACACATATTAAGAGATTTAATATTGTATAATAAATCCTATTATCATCAGAAAAATTGACTATGAATTTTTTTAGAAATTTAATGACTCATTACCACCTGCGATTATTCCCATTTCATCACGATTTCAATTTCTAAAAATAACTTTTATTTTCTACAAACATTACATAAAAATGAAAACATTGTTTAATGGTAGTTGTAAGAATTTTCAAAAAAATCTCAGTTAACTTATCAAGTGTTATTCTTAGCAATCACACAATATATATACACTTTGGATTTAATTTATGTATTCTTCTACATATTTGATTAATAATGCTCTTCGTAACATAATAACATAAGTCGTTTCAAATTTAATAATAAACATTTTTCAAAAAACAACAAACAGTTAGGAAAATAAGTGAACAGATTGATTTCATTAGAGATAACAAAAAATACTGCACATTATTTAAATACAAGACATTTTTTTTTGTTTTTTTTTTTGTTAAAAAAAAATTCATCTGACAATGGCTGATTTGTTTCTGCTAAAACTCAAAGAACAAAAAAATTTAAAACATTATTTAAACATATTTTTGAAATGCTAAAATAATAACATTATAATTAAAAATTGTTTTTCCTTGTATTGGTAATAAAAATGTTATAAATATAACAAATAGGATACATAACATTGATAATAGAAGACAAAGTAAGAACGTATTACTATTTGTAGCTATAAATGATGATTTATGTTTTCGATTTTGACGTTTTAAAATCAATTGTTCATAGACAGATGGACAATACAATTGGGCAATTTGAGCAAATGGGGATTTTAATTCTACATCAAGATTCATGGTCATATGATGAAAATAATGGATAGAATAAATTGATTGATTTTTAATCAAATGTTCAATAGATGATGAAATTGTAGATGAATGAAAAAATTTTGGAATATTTTGATAAGCAATAGGATAAAATGTATATGTATTATGAATATCAATATCATGACATTTTTCTTTTTGATGAATATGTAATTCACCACCATCACATACATGTTTTAATGCATCAGATAATGCTGTTGGACCTACACATGACCAACATAATGATTGAAAATTATTTGAAGCTGATGCTAATTGTTTATCCATTTGAATATCTAATGCTAAATGTCTACTTTCAAACGCTAATACTGCTACATTAACACCATCTTTTGACTCTAATCCAACAGAATTTTTAAATAAATCAAATTTTCTTAGTGGAATTACGTCTAAATCAAAATAGATGCCACCATATTTATATAATAGTGCTGTTCTAATAAAATCTGACATATGACTAACGGCAAAATATCTTATAAATTGTATACGTGGTGTCTGATTTAATTTTGATAATTGTGTATGGGCATATATTTGAGTTTCATTAAAATGAGCAAAACGAATATTTTCGTATTTTTTATATAATTTTGAATATGTTCCTTTTATTCGACTAACATATCGAGATTTCATTAGAACAAATATAAGACCATTTGGATGAAGAAGAGCGGCTGCTTCTACAGAACAACCATGACGAGCAATTAAATCTTCATTTTCAGATGTTTGAACAAAAAATAATTTTGTACGATTTGATGTAAATAATTCATATTCCATTGTAGATAAATCAGATAAAAGTATATGAGATTTTGAATATGAATCAGGTGACTGTTTTTCTGTTGCCGCTTGTAAACTTTCGTCGTCAAAATCGACCATAAAAATGTTAAATATACCGTATAAACTAGCTTTAGATAATTGAGTAATTGATATGTACAATATTGTAAATGATGCTAAAATTAAAATAAAAATGAAAAATTATTCATATCAATTATTTTTTAAAGAATTAGCTAAAATAATATCGAAATAGTACATACCGATAAAGAGTATCAACCATTTTATCCAATTAATAGTTCTAAATTAGAGTAACAAAGTCATAGTATTGAGATAAGAAGAAATTTTCTATTATGAATTAATCAATCAAATGATAAATTTTGTCATCTTTGACGTTTTAACAATCGTATGTTCAAAAAAATTTTTCTTATTTTTATTTTGAAAAAAAAATTATTTTTTTTTTATGATAAATATTTCAGAGTATTCACGTTTTTCTAATAACAACGATTGAACATACCTTATCTTAAAATAGTTCATGTCAAAAATTCGGTTCGCTAATAAACAGCATCCGTTCGTTCTAAACAGTAATCTATTCGTTATCTTTTTATATTGTTATTTTATTATTAATAAATCTAAAGTATAGAAAAAAAATGAGGAAAATCTGTTTAGGTTTAGTCTAATTGATAAGAAAAAAAAACAAAAAAATCTATAGATAAATAAATAATGTCTAAAATACGTCTTTAGAAATAATTAATCAATAATCTATTGAAATTAACTACCGTTATATGTGTATTAGTTGTGTGCTCATCAACTTATTCTAGTGTGTAAAATAGAATTTCTACTCTAAGGT